CCCCAAAACCCCAAAACCCCAAAACCCCAAAACCCCAAAACCCCTACTGTGAATAACCGCCTGAAATTTAAATAATAACTTTGCCGTAATCATGACAGATGAGAAGAAACAAAGGAGTATAGAGATTAGCCATTTCTTGGAATCTGATCTTGAGAGCTTCCCACATCTCAAATTCAAATCGCCAAAACAGGAGAGAAAGACCATGAATATGGAAAGTATTCCAATGTCTTGCCATGCAAGCCCAATTATGTCTCCTAATGGGGGGAAATTTGATCTCGAAAAGGTGAATATTAAGGAAAAAACAGAAGTTAAAAACCTAAAATAGCTTGCTCAAGATGACCCCTTTGAAGAATGAGATACTTGCAGCGGAGAATCAGCCGGTTTCAGCAGAGAGGCTCAAGAATAAGAAGAACATGTTCAACAAATCACTCGATGATTTGTCACATAAAGGTAACAAAGATAGAATAGATTATCAGCTCACAAAGATATCTCAGTCTACTGAGATGGTTCAGAGGAAGTTTGTGTCTAAGATTGACAGGAACTCAGGCAAGAAGATTAAGAACGAAAGATCTCCACTTATCCGTCACGATAAGCTAGAGGAGGGGCTTATAAGTGGAGGCCAAAGTGATCTGGACAATGACTGACTTCCCGAGTTTGATCCTCCCTATAAGTCCACACATATTTGCAACAATTTTACTCCAAAGGTTTTGAATTTTGCGGACAAATCTCATGATTATGATAATCCGCTCTTATCCCACGACTTGCCGAAGGAAGAAGATAGTGAGGTTTATACTCCTTCATTTGATCATAAAAATGAAGATTTCAATGAGAAATCCCCGTTGAGTTTGATCAAAGACAAGAAAGAATATTCCTATAAAAAGAAAGGGAGGCATTTACATTGGGGTGATGATAAGCACTATCTCTCTCATCATATGATACACAATGATAGCAGCCATCATCTCAATCCAATGCTTTCTTATAGGGGAATTTCACAGCCACCTCCAGCAGAATTGAGAAATCAATTGGGTGTCCATGATGAGAATATTGAGGAGGAAAAAGAGAGGAGTTATTCCCACTCAAAACAGTATTATCCAACTTGTCATTGCCATAAAACTGCACAAGGTGTCCGGTATAATCCTTATGGCTATTACTATGCACCAGCTAACATCTTGTTCTCTCCTAAATCTGTTGATTCGGACAGAAAATCAAAGAAAAGAAATCGTAAGAGCAGAAGAAAGAATAGAGATAATCATTCTCACAAATCACATCGAAATAAATCAGCTTATGTTGGAAGTACAATTCCGTTAATGATAGTCCCTACTATGAAGGATGATAGAATCCTACTGCATGCTTACCCTATGGAGGAATCATATCCTAATCATGAAGACCATGACATAGAAAAAGAGAGTTATTCGATAAAGAGGCCTCCTACCTATATCCAAAAACTCGAATATTCTTCAGACAAAAAGAGCTCTAGATACCACAAGAGCTCAACCAAAAAGAAAAAGAAGGGTGTAGAGGTAGAAAAATAGAGGAAGAGAGCTCTTCAAGGTTGATAGAGACAGGACCAATAGTCTCTCTGGTAAGAAGAGAAGCAGCAACAGTGACTCTAATGACAACGCTAGGAAAAGAAGAAGTATTTCTGAAGAATCAGAGATACTCCTCTGCAATCAGATTAAAAAGCAGAATAGCGGCAAGAGCTCAACAATGATCAAGATCACAAATAACTGTGATGATTTCTTACAAGCTTATGCTTCTGGAAATTCTGGAGATAGCAGCGGCGAGTCAAAGAATAAGGAGAATATACCTCCTAAACACAATTCTAGCATTTATAATTCAGAGTTTAGAGGAACACACCTTAGATTTAAGAGCTTGACTGACAGCAACTACAATAAGTTTAAAGCAAAGAATAATGGTTGACTAAAAGAAGGCAAAAATGTCAAAATAGAAGAGCTTAAAGACAATAGAGCTCCTTTTTCCAGAGTTGATTCGAACCCTGCCAGTTTTGGAAATCCTACAATCCCATTTTATCACCCTCCCGAGCTGATCAAAAGCCATAGCTTCTATAATAAGCTGTCTGATGAGTCAAAGCAGTCTTCAGAAGATTTGGGAATGTTGAATTATTCTTATGAAAATACTCAAGGAGCTCAAGGTTTGGAAAATAATAGCGCCATATTTCCTGATAAACCAATTAAGGACATTTTAATCCCCCAAGATTTCATCAAGGATGTTGATAAAGAGCAGAATGAGGCTCCCTCAGGGCGGTTCAGGTGCAATTGTAAGAAGTCAATGTGCCTCAAACTCTACTGTGAATGCTTCTCTACTGGTGCAGGATGCAGTAAGGACTGAAATTGTGTGAACTGACTCAATACCCCTGGAAATCCAACGCGTGAAGAGGCTATTAGAGTAGCTAAAGAGAGGAATCCAAACGCATTTAAGCCAAAGATCCTATTCCAGGAGGACAAAAGTATCGAAAGCAAGCAAGTACCAGGTGGAAGACACACTAAAGGTTGAAACTGTAAGAAAAGCCATTGCCTTAAAAAGTACTGAGAATGCTTTCAAAGTGGGGTTATGTGCACCAGTATTTGAAAGTGTGAAGGATGCAAAAATTGCAAACCTGAAGATCAAGAAAAAGATATGGATATCGACCAAGACAAACTGGATCAGGAGATGACCCCTCAGAAGCCACCTTTGAAGGTGATCAAACCTAAGGATGTGAAGATGGAAACCTCTGATAAAAAGTCGTCTTGAGAGAAGCAAGTGAAAATCAAACAAGAGTCCAAAGAAATACCTATTATGCCAAAGATTATCAAAAGAGAGGAAATAAAAGAGAGTAAAACTTCTAAGAGTCCGAAAATAACAACTAAGAAATCTTCCGAAAATATTATAAAAATGGAAGTGCCGGAATCCAAGGTTATAAGAAGAAGATCAGCTAGAAGAAAGTCAAGGAAATTGATATTCATTGAATATTCCAAAAACACACATGGGCTGAAGGTAATTGTTCAGAAAAAGAAAGGCGATCAAATAAAAACAAAGGTCCATAGGGCTACCACACTAAAGGGAGGCAGAGTTGAAACCCCAAAGCCAAAAGGGAAGAGTTTGAAGGTGAAAAGCAGAAAGCCTTCCGCAAAGAAATCCATCAGAACCAAGGTCATTAAAACTCCTTCTAAGAAGTCAACAAAAACAAGCACTTCTAAAAGCACGAAGAGGGTTCTGATTAAGAAGATTTCTTCTGAGTCTCACGGGCGGACTCTGAGGTCTGGGGTGACCTTAGGAAAGATTTCTTCTTCTGATTCTAAGAATAAGAGCCCTATCACTAGATCTCAGAAGAAAAGGCTGAATGGAAAGAAGCAAAATACCTTGGTGAAGTCTATCAAGAAAGGATAAAGCCCTTCAAGCTGGGTGTTTGGTAGCATTTAGGGCCACTCAGCATTTCATTAATTAATTTTAGCCCGTGTTCTCATTTCAAAATTTTAATATATATAAGGGGTTTTGGGGTTTTGGGGTTTTGGGGTTTTGGGG